TGGATTTCCTCTTGCAGACGATCATCAAAAAACCGACGGAAAGCAGAGAGAAAAAAGCTGAGTCTGAAAGAAGGAAGTCCGATGGAGGACAGAGCCTTGATGCACGCCATGAGTGAAATCATCACCGCTGTGGACAAGATGAGAGGTTACAAACTCTGCAGTGATTCTTTTTTTTACCTGCTGTCTTGCTTTATATATAGCCTGCAGAGTTTAAGAGTTTTCTATCGAATTTCTAACTAATGTAAAAACTGGGTTTTCTTATGCTGGCTGAAAAACATCTGCATTGATCAGGCTCTACTGGCTGAAACCAGCTTCCGGTTTTCTTTAAAGTCTGACCTGCACATTCTGATTCCTGTTCTGGGAAGAAAAAAAAAATATGTTGAAATTTCATAAACAAAAAAACTGGTACTGCTGCAGTTTTTGTTTCATTGGAAACAAAATTTCTGTATCCAACATTAAAATAAATGACACATCAATGGATCTGTTCCAAACACCTATAACACTTTTCTGACGAAACCCAAAACAAAATGCATCAAAATTAAATTAAAATGTTTTGGGCTCAAATAGACTGGTAAAAAAGAGTGAATATTCTGTTTTTATGCATTTAATGAATAGCAACAATAAATGTTTTTACTTTAGTAGTTGAGCTGCTGGCCAAACTTGATTCAGTGATCTATGTTTATCTATTTACCGTTTTATGTTTGCCCTAGAAGATGGAGGAAAACGTATATATTGGTGAAGATTCTCAGTCATTCCAAAAAAGTTGAAAAATTATCCAAGGGACTTTGTTTCCAAGTTTGAGGGCGTTTCGCTTCCTATCCAGGAAGCTTTTTTCAATTAAAAATGTCAGAAATGGCGTCGAGTTTAAAGATTTATAGAGTGGACCAAAGCAAATCCTTGTTTTGGCTTAGAAAACATGCAAATTGAACCTGACGAATGGCTCCGCCCCCTAGGAATGGGGTTGCTTCTTTGTTAGCCTGTAATACCCAAAACATTTTTATGTCTCTGAAAGGGGGGTTGTTAAAGGGAATTGTTGGCCTGGCTGAAAAGGTGAGAAGCTTTGAATTAAAAAAGCTTCCTGGGTGGGAAGAAACTGTCTTCAAACTTGGAAAAAGGTCCAGTAGATTGCTTTTAAACTTTTTTGGAAGAGTCTTTTCACGCTTCTATTAAAGATGTTTTGCTTCCCTTCCGTGTTTTAAGATTTAATAATTTTATTTTAACACTGGTATTGTTCCGTTAATAAAACCCAGATGTGTCCCTCCTCACTCCACAGAGGAGATCCACGGCCTCCTTAAGGCCTTGGTTCTGTTCCAGTTTGATAAACAGGCTGAGAAGCTGCAGCTGGCCTATGAAGATGCCCTGCAGATGATGGAGGGAGCCGTTCCTGAGGTGTGGCCTGAAGGCCTGCTGAGCACCAGCGCTCCGGTAAATCTTTGTTTCATAAATTGCTTCTAGAAACTTTCCAAGCTCTCAATAAAGCAAACCAGCTGCTTTTTTGGCAATAGGTAAATGTTTAGTTGTTTTCTGGAAAATGAGAATTTTCTAAAACCTTCAGATTATTACGTCTTAAACTGCCCCTCACCTAGCAACGCAGGCAAAGAAAAACTAACATAAAAAAACCCCAATACATTTCCTGCATCATACATTTACATTATATTATTGGACCAAATCACAAACAAAAATCAACAATGGCTTTAATACATGCAGAACAAATGTGTGTGTTATTCACTTAATGGGGCAGTAGGAGATCTTGGAAAAATGGTTCCAGCAAGCTATATTTTTGAACATACACAACCTTCGGACCACTCCACGAAACCACGCCTTCAAAACACATGAACGTGCACGCTGTCTGCGGCGCGTCTAGAGCAGCTGAAGTAGCATGTCGAACGGAGCTGGCAGGGAAACAGGCAGCACTGATGATGCACAGTGCTATGATCATTCCTCTGAAACGGTTTATTAACGCCTAAATTAACTTAAAATGTTGAAACCTGCCGGCAAAGCATGTTCGCTTTTATTATCCTGGTGCCTGCAGTTTTGATTACTTACATGAAAACTGCCTTCCAGCCGCCGTGGCAAACCGCGAGGAGGCGACCAGGCCATAGGCTGCTGTTGAATGGGATTCCTAGTGACAGCGCACCGCAAGTGTACGGTGGTCTGAGCGGCTCCGACAGAAATAATATTAGAAGGCAGGATTGTAATCTGGATGAACTAACTGCACTGACCATGTTTTCAGGTGAACTTTCTCACTTCAAAATAGATTCAAACTACTTTTTACCCACTGATCACAGCAAATATAGCTGCTATTGTTACAGGCAAAGAAAGGATAGGGTAGCTCCGTCCAACGTGCATCAGTCCCACTTTTTCCACCGCGTAGCCAGAGCAGCAAAGATGTTTCTTCCGCGTGTCAGAACTAAACTCACAAGCATCAAAATGAAGCAGCACCTGTGTTTTGCTGCTTTATATGTAAATAGGGTGAAAAGACGTCCTCTTTCTCCTACTTTTCATACCTAAAAAATATCTGGGGGGAATTTCAAAATCCTCAGAGATTTCAGTCGAACCACAGTGCAGCAGAACCGAGCCGTGAGCTCTGGGGCTGGGGACAGAGTGACCGAACCCAACCCGGTGACGGTAGCCTTGACACCAGCGTTCCCCGTGCTCCTTTTCTGAAACCACAAGCAGACAACCATGATTGACGTGTCAGGAACCAATCGAGTACAAGGGACGTCTTTTGTGATTGGTTGAGGTTATTCATTGATTTCTCACCATAGCTGGGACCATTTATCTTAGTTTCACGTCCAGAACTTCTGTTTCACTGCTTGCTAAGCGGCTGTGGGGAGATCATTAAGCCACATTGTAAAAAAAGCGACAAAAAAGATCTCCCACTGCCCCTTTAAGGCTGGTTCATACAGACTTCTTTACTTTATTTAACAGTTAGATGGGGGATGAAACGGTTTTGGCCGTACAGCGTGTTCTCTCAGACCACACGGCAGATTTTGAGGCACGTAGAGCAAAGTTTTTAGCACCAGATGCAGTCCAGAGAACGGCTTTGCTTGATTCGCTGAGATGACCAGGGAAAAAAGAAGATAGGTGTTTGAAGGTGTTTTTATAATAAAAAAAGGTGTTTTACAATAAAATTCTCTTGTTGCATTGGCAAAGTGTCTCACTTACCACCTCAGTAAAAAAAAAAAAAAAAATCACTTATTTTAAGAAAAAATGACTTATTGAGATTTTAATTTTTTTGTAGTGTAGGCGGTTCTGCAGGATCCTGCAGTTTCTGGGTCAAAAATGTACTGTTGAACCATTGTGCATCTGTCTGCAGCCAGTTGTCTATAAAGTGCAAGTTTAAACATTAAGTGGGTGGCTCGGTAACAGCTTATATGCCTTTAAGTAATAGAGCCATAAAACAGCTTTATGCTTTAACTGTGCTGATGAGATAAAATGATTCTTAATCTAAGAAACAAATCTAACATGTTTTGTTTAGAATAGACTTATGCTAAATGTTTAAAAAGTAGTATAACTGGTCCTCTTTAAAGCTTAAACCTCTGGGAATAAATCCTCACAGCATTTCACACTTTCGAAGATGTATAGATGAGAGGAATTGTTTAAATTACATATGTATACATCTTCAATGTTATTGTTTTTTGTTTTTTCACCCTGAAGGTAACGGGTCCAAACTCCACAGCAAACAGCATCATGGCTTCTTTTCAGCAGCAGCAGCAAAAACCTGCAGCTTTACAGCAAGGTTGGTAAAGCTTCCAGTGTGAAATAAGTGCTTTAATGCCCGTCTTTAACTCCTGTGACCTTTTAAAAACTGAATAAAATCAAACTTTTTCCCATACTTGTCAAAAGACAGGGTTTCTATGTATGATGTTTGGCATTTGACATCAGCACTAGTTGATATTTAAATGATTACCTTCACCTACCTGACTTTATATGCAATTTTCTTTTAACCAACAGGTAAACAAACATACAAAAAAAACTTTTTTTCATTTCTAGATATTTTTTTATCTGGCTTATAAACTGCATCCAGAGGAATGAATCTGGTTTGATTTAGAAGCCAAAACAAGTACTGTAAATTTGGTAAAAAGTTTGATGATAATGATCATGGATTAAATGCAGACCCTTTAAATCGGGTTAAAATTTTAATTCCCTAGACCCAGGATCTTGCAACTTTTAAATGTTTTCTTTGGTCCAACACGCCTAAATTACGTTATTAGATGAATAAGAGGACTCTGGAGAAAGTGACTGGATACCGAGGCGGTAAATTCAGCCCTTTGATTCAGTTGTTGAACCAAGGATGAATCTAAAAGATGCAGAATTCAGACTTTTAGCCTGAATTGCCCTGCTTAAAATCATCTGAAGGGTCTGCATGGTGATTCAGTCAAGACTTTTTGAAAGGTATAGATTTTTGCAGAATTTAAAACATTTTACCTCTGAATAGGAATAATTCAGATTCAATAAACACAACAAACACAGATAATTAATGTTAATATTTACATGTTTGTAAAGTTGCAAAGAAAAGAACTTCCAGAGGAATCTTTCGACAGATTAAAAGGCTAGAAATGTGAGATTTGGCCTTTTTGGGAGTCTTTTTTGATCTGTTTTATTTGAACAAACATTCAGAATATCTTCTTTAGAAAAGAGTCAGTTTGATGTGGCCTTTTTTCCTTTACTAATTTTTATTTTTCTCTTTTTTTTTCAGATCCTGAGATCCCAACAGCGCCGAAGATGAGAAATGTCAAGTGGAAGCTTACTATTCTAAAATAAAACAAAAAACTAAGTAGTATTGTTGGAATTGTTTTTTTTTAAAGCTGTAATGTAAAATTTCAGTTGTATAATAAAGTTTCATTTAATATCTTCTGATACTGAATATTTTCCTTTTATATATAAATAAAACAAATATTAGTGATTGATCTCCATTCCTAGAGTCATATGTTGCTGCGTCCCAGCAGAGGTACTCGTCTGCTCTGCCCTGATAAATACACTTTCAAATAAGAAAAAAGCTAAATCCAGAAGGTTTTGGTGTGTCTGAACCAAGTCCTGCTTCGTTCTCACACCCGTCTTGCCGCTGCACGGCGTTGGTTGATGGCCTTGGTGGTGACCCGCAGTTTACGTATGCGTAGCTGCCGCAGTCTCTGCTGCGCATCTTTGGGACGTTTCCCCTCCTTTCTTAAAATGTCCTTCACTTTCCGTCTGGGAATCTTTGTGAGGTAGAAGTCGCAGATTGTGGGAAAGTGGTCGTACATGACGTCACATGTGCGGGAGGAGGGGAGGTAACCCTCTGCGCTGACCGTCACTCGGTACTCGCCTGGATTCAGCAGGCGCCAATAGTCGCCATCAGCCACTGCAGCAGGGAAGACCAGACATAAATAAAAAGATTTAATGACAGATTAAAGTTAACGGACGTTAAACATAAGCTGTGCTGAGAAAACAGTTTAAAGCTGATATATTTTTTTGGTGGGTATAATATAGTCAAACAATTTAGAAAATCCATCATCTTTAGTGAAGAGAAGAATATTTGAAGGTTTTCAAAGTGTTTGAGGAACATTTTATATTCAACTACTTAACTAATTCATACAATGTAACTCTAATCCGTTTTCTCTTAAACCTTTTTAGTAAACCAGGTGTGTTCTATTTGCCTGAACACATTCACAGTCAGAGCAAAGGGAGGACGTGTCAGGCCATCACAAACCTAAATGTGCAGTTTGCTAAAATATTATGAAGAATTTAATTTAGTGAGATTAGATTAGGACTGACTTTTTAACAGCAAGTACTTGAGTTAGATATGGCTTTAAAAAGATGATAAAGAGCAGCTGGATAGATAGTGATGCTGATTTTTTTTCTCTCAAAGTCTATAGGAACCTTGTTGAGTTACAAGGAATTACAAATTATACAGACATCTTTTGTTAAACTCTGAATGATTTTAAACCAAGTAGTCTCCTTTAATCATATCTCTGCTTAAATAATGTAATGAAGTTGAATGATTGTGTCTTATGTTATTTTATGGTCAACATTTCTGACATAAATGTTTTCCTCTTTCCCTATTAAATCCCTAGGATTACTAATGTACATGTTTTTCTCATATCCAGAGATTGTAGTGAAACTTAAATTTTTATTTAAAAGCACTACCTCATGGGCAGTAAATCAAATATTTATTGTCAATGTTTCTAATAAAAACAGCAAACAGTCGCTGAGATTCCGACATATTTTATAAATTTCCTCACGTCTGTTTTCTAAAGCAATTCCCTTTGAGGAAATGTTGGAATATCAGGTGTTAACATGGATGACAGAGAGCAGCTTAGGTAAGGTGGGTCCGTCTCTAGGCAACCGGGAAAGCAGCTGATGTAAAGCTGTGGAGGTCCTGCTTAGAATGCAGCAGGAGAATTGAGTTGGCTTTAGCAGGTTCTTCAATTTATTCATTATTTATTTTGTTAGATTTAGTGTTGATGTGAATTTTACAGACAAGTGTCGGACATTAATGGAAATTCGGGACAAAATGCATCCTGTATTACTTCAACATGGGACACAATGTTTAACTGCAAAATAAAGGACAATTTCGTATTTTAAAGGGGGAATGGAGGCTCTATATGGTTGTCAAGAGCGAGTGTTTGTACTGGTCACGGGGCTACAACTAACAATTATTTTCCAAATGATTAATCTGTCAATTACTTTTTCCATTGACATAATCGGATAGCCAAAGGTTCCTTAAAGAAGATATTTTACCAAATTAAACCAGCTAAAACTAAAACAATTCCACCGGTGGAGTATGTTTATACACACACACACACACACACACACATATATATATATATATATATATATATATATATATTATTTTTATTTTTAAATGTCACAAAAAATACAGATGAGTTTGCTGCTTGTATTGTAGTTTTCATACAGCAGTTGTTTGGAAGAGAGGGACAATATTACAAACCTTAGTTGGTTGTTCCATGTGGTTGATCCTACTGAATCTCATGAAGTAAGTGGTGTGTATATGACAGTTTATATTTTATTGATTGTTTACTGTATGACTTTATATTGCAGCAATGTCTTACAATACATTGTCCGCCGCCAGTAAAGGATTTTAAGCTTTATTAGGACAAGTTGTTCTGTTGATTAAAAAACACAAAAAAACTGTCCCACTGTATTTCGTGCTACTGTTACCATGCAGTAAGCAGATCCTGGTGTTTCTCTGCATGAGTTTGCATGTTCCCTCCGCGTACTCCTGCTTCCTCCCACAGTCTAAAAACATGGCTGATTGGCATTTCTAACATGCTTTCAGATATCTCTGTTGTGTGATGGACTGACGAAATGTTCAGGGTGTCCCTGCCTTTCACCCATAGACTGCTGGAGACAGGCGCCAGCCCCCAGTGACCCCGACAGATTAGTGAAAAAAGATGGATGGATGACTTTCTTCATCGCCCCTTCACCAAAAACAACAGCATAAAATAAGGACCAAAGATTCAGGCCATTTTATTTATGAGAGCAACCCTATCTAGAAAGCTCATGGAAAAGAATCACATCCTTCGCTCTGTATGTTCCAACCTGCTGACAGAAGGTGGCTGTATAAGGTGTCATGAATGCACCACTTCTGGAGGGTTCTGAATATAAAGTGAAATGAAACCTGATCTGATGTGATGATCGATGTCTTCCACTTTAATGATGGCGTCTGCTATTCCCTCTTTGGTGTCTTTGTCCCGGATCACACCTTTAATCCCACGATGGACCTGAACATTCATATTGAGAGACTTTCAGTTTTCTGTCAGTTCCAAATCCTAAAATGACACACTGTTGAACAGATTGTCTTTCAAAATATAAAATAAATATCTTCTTTTCTATACTTCAGATCTGAGCATGGCAAGATCAGAGCAGGTATCTAGATACACCTCCCTTTCTGCTGCCTATAGTCTAGACTAAAAGTGGAAATCTTGCAATAGAAAATACAAGTAAAAGCTGTTATTAAATAAGCAAATGTGAAGTTATTCAACTAATGTTATATGCATGCGCTATAAAACATCAAACCAAATTGTTTGTTAGCTAATAATTCTGGATCAGAATTTCTTTTTTTACATGCATCACTGAAAACTTATACATCAGTCCAAGTGGTATTGGGCAGATTTAATATTTGACTTGATCCCGACTCATCTGCACGCAGAAATGTGTTGTTCCCCCTAAAAGGATGCATCTGTTACATTTTCCTGATATTCTAACCCCTTGACGCCCACTGTGGCAAATATGCAACAGACCATTTGTATCACACACAACAAAAATAGTGTGTGCATTCCTTTAGGACCAGTCTTTTAAGCATTCAGTGTTGACCTAGAAACCTTTGGCAAGGTATTGTTTCCATTACAACCCGTCCCTAATGTGTATGTTATCAGTGACCGTTATAAATGTCATAAATTCAGGCGTCAACAGGGTCATAGTTACTCGATTCAACAACAGGATTTTAAGTTTCAAACCTGTCTTAGATGCAGTATTGGGAGCCAAAGAAAGATTCTTCCTGTCCATATTTTAGGTAATTATCTTGGCAGTTGATCTAAAAATGGGTATACAGTAGAGAGACTCCTAACAATAGAGAGGACTGGAGGGCCTAACTGATGAATTGACGATGACGAGTACAAGGAATCCAAGGCGCTTCACACTACATTCAGTTATTCACCCATTCATAAACACATTGGGGCCACAGCTGTTGTGGGGCAGACTGACAGAAGTGAGGCTTTCATATATCACATTTTTACTAAATTAAAGACATATTAACCATGCTAAATTGAGAGTAAAAAGGTCACTTAAAGACAAAGTACAAAAGAAAATGTTATCAACTGCAAATTTACATTTCTGTTCATATTCTGGTGTTTTAGTGACTAAATAAAAAAAAAATATACAAATTAATAACATCATTCCACAATAATGTTTAGGCAGAAGGAAATACATTTTCTAATTTAGATTTATTTTTTCACCATAAACTGTTTGAAAGCAACACTTATAGGAAACATACAATATATGCACTGCTAAAAAAAAGGGAGCAATCAACTAACATAAATCTGAATGATTGAAATGTTCTCATTGAATACTTTGTTCTGTGCAAAGTCTAATGTGCTGACAACAAAATCACAGTAAAATAAGTTATGGAAATCAAATTTATTAACCAATGGAGGCCTGGATTAGGAGTCAGACATAACATTTAAATGGGAAAACAGATTACAGGCTGATCCAACTTTGATGTAATGTCCTTAAAACAGGTCAAAATGAGGCTCAGTATTGAGTGTGGCCTCCACGTGCCTGTATGACCTCCTTACAATGCCTGGTCATGGTCCTGATGAGGTGGAGGATGGTCTACTCCCAGACCTGGGAGGATTCAAAGCCACCTTTTGGCCCCCCTAAGTTAGACTTACAGCATATTAATCTCAGACCCCAACACCACTAGTTAGAACTGAAGAAACCTCTTGGATGAGAGGCCGAACGTCTAGAAAACTTCACGTCAAGTTGCCTAGATATAACTTTTAAAGCATAGTTTGATGACGTTTACTCTGTGTGGCTAATGCAAATGTCTTCACCTTCATATTTGTTAAGTTTTATAAACGAGAGCTTCAGCTGGTTTCTACATTTATGTAATTATTGTTTTTTTCATAGTTTTTCTGATGGCTGTACTTCCAATTTGGCTGTCAATCGCATGGTGATATCTGAGCTGAAGGCCTTCCTGATTCAGCACAGCCATCTACTGTAGGGCTCCTTTCCTGCCCTGGATAGTGTTCTAACTATCAACCCTACAAAAGGTGAAGGGATAGAAGCTAGGAGCTACAATCTGAGATATTCTGATTGCACTTATACTAAGGTAACAAAGCAGCCTATTAGACACTCAGTACTATGGCTCTGGAGGCCATGTAATAAGCAACATTTAGAAAACACACCCAAAATGATTGCTGCGTGTCATTTCTGACCTGTTCCATGAAGACCAGCAGAGACTCTTTGTTGTTTTCCCACTCCACCGGAAGTTCGCTGGCATGAGGAAACTTATCGCAAGACAACTCCACAGTCACCTCGAAGCAGTTGGTGTGCAGGTAGCTGAAATCATTCATACCTGCAAGTTCAAAAAAAAGATGACGGCTCAGCAGCAATACTTTCTGATTTGAAGCTTTTCTTTTCTCTCAGACAGTCTAAAGAACTTTATTGCAAACTGTTACAACCCATTCACTGCCCATTGGTTGGCTGGTGTTGTGGGAAAAAAGTATTCAACCATTCATTCCAGTTGAATAGACAGAGATCGATGGATTTCAGTCAGTCAGCTCTTTATTTTATCTTTGCAAAGAGAGAACAGTCCATCATACGGCCCTTATTGCATGGTAATCAGCCCTGTTCTGCTCCTAGCACAGTTTGTTCCCCTTTATTTACAATAATGGAAAGTAGTCAGCGGCAAAACAAAGTACAGACACTTTGGTTAAACAGTATCATGTTATGAATAAACCTTGATAGAGAATCCAGCTTGTTGTGGGAATAAGTACGTCTTCTCTAAAAACACCCCTCACTCAGGCATTGTCGGGCTTTGCAGGTGAAACAGACTGAGTGAAAAAAACTTTTCAGTGAGTAAATAGTAGAAATCAATATATGAAATAAGAGAAATCTAAATTTTCCGACCACACTAGTGATTGGCTGCATTGTTAAATAGAGATGGGCAATCACAAATCTTCTTTTTATGTTTGTGTGACATTAAAGGGATTTTGAATATCAAGGTACGGTCACAGATGAACGGCTGTCCTTCAGCCTAATGTTGACACTGTTTAAAAACCCAAACAGCATCAGTAAACACACTTTGTAATTTCTTAAACAGCGGCCACTGAAAGTGTTCCTCTATTTAATACAGTTTCTAGGTTTTGGAAAATGCTGGTGAAGATTCTCAATCATCCAGATCAAAGTCATTCCCAAAGAGTTAAAAGTCGCTTCTCATCCAGGAGGCTTAATCAATTCAAAATGTCTTTTTAATTTTGA